CAGATTTGTAGATTTGAATTAAGTTCCAAACTCAAATTGTCAACTTATTGGTAAAAAAAAAAAAAAATTGAGAATCCAATAGAATAATGAAACCCCAAAACCTCAAAGGTCAACCTGAACCACATTCAAGTTTTCGAACAAGTTTAAAATATATATATATATATATATATATATGATGAAATGAGAGAAAATCGGAGAAATGATGTGAAAAAAAAATATAAGAATCAAAAACATTTGCTTCCACCAGAAAAATGTACCTCTTCATCACGATGGATTTTGTCTTTGACATTACTGCTAGAAACTAAACCTTCCAAAATCGTGGCAAGTAATGGAGTGTACTTTGGATATTCTGACTGCAAGGAAGCATAACATATTCATGTATTATTTAATCTATAATACAGAGAATAAACAACTGAATATATTTATGATTTATCAGAAAATACAGCCAATTACAATTTTGAAAAACATAAAAACAAGAAAAAAAAATTATCTTGCAAATTAATATATGTCGATCATTATGGAACTGAAAAAATAAAATGAAAGCAAAAGATAAATTCAGACTAAATTTTCTGTACTGACTTTAAGCAAGGCGGATAGCTCTTTCCATTCCAAGCGCTCTTCATCAGTTTCTTGTTTTAGGCTTGCTAGAACTTTTATTTTTGCATCTCTTACCTGATGGACAAGTAAAATTAAAGAACCACCAAGAGATAAGATAAACATTCTAAAATCCATAGAATAAAATCTACATCATGAAAAAAAGTCTACGCATAATTAAAGTAAATAAGATACTTACACTGATTTGTTTCACAACTTATATACTATACAATATACATGCATGCTCCGCTTAAATGTTAATTAAAACACACATGCATTACTTTACCAAAATAGAAGAAAAACAATGCATAGATCATTTACTCATTTTAGCCATGACTCATCCTATTTATTTTTATTTTAAAAAAGTGAATAACCAATTTATAATTTAATATTCAAGACAATGGAAGATTCTCGAAGATATGTTTCCAAATACAGAATCAACAAATAGAAAATGTTCCATAAAATGCCATTGAATTGAATCAAGAATGGTAATTAACTTCAAGGATTAAATAAATTCAGTCTAAGGTGTGCTAACAAACTTCTCTTTAGACATCCTCATTCACAGCCATTTACCAATATTTCAAATAATGAAAGTTTTGAAGTATAACAATGCAAGCATGGATAACAATGAAATTGACTTGAAAAGAAAAAAGATGCAAAAAGAGTATATATTGAATCATAATTAAAAAAAGGAAACTGGATAAAAAAACAAAAAGGAAGCTCTTTTACTGATGTATGACTTGCATACCTCTTCTTTTAAACGTTCTGAAACATTCTTCTTGGAAGATATAGAAGAACCTTTTCCCTTGTCCTCATCAATCTTTCGAAAGAAGACACGTAATTAGACATTAACTTTAGTCATATATTATAAGATAGTTTTCAACTGTTGGTCAACGTGACCGATAGGGACCTTCCGGTACAGTAAGTTAGGGTTGTCTCATGTGTCTCACATTCTAAGTTCCATGCTTTTGTGCTTTGAAGAGGAAAGATTGACTCATCAATGAGAGAGAACAACAACATAACACGAGAGAAGATAAGAGAGAAAATCCATTGTTTAGATTTCATATCCACTAGGTAATGACTTTTGAATTGCAATAAGAAATTTGTTCATCGTTGGATCAAACTAATTTTTGGACAACAGATTCATGGGACATTATTATTCATTTTTAATGGTTGGATCGTTCAAAGGATGTATGGAGTGAGAGAAAAGTGTTTTGCGGTAAAAGCTTTTTTTTTTTTTTGGGAGTTTTCATCTTCTTGCTTCTTATTGAGGAGGGAGAACCAGGGTAATTGAAGTTTGGCAATTATCGAGGTAAGGGAGAGTGAGAACCTCGCTCCAAGGTATGAGTTATTTACAAGGTAGTGGAATTGACCCCTAATTCCATTTGTTTGTGTGTGTTGCATGAAGGGATAAACACAATTTTAATTATGATTGTAAATTTATGGTTGTTAAGTCTCAATTATACTTCTTTTGGACAAGATTTAATGAACAATTTCACTCATTCTTTGAACCATTGCAACATAATTGTTCTCTTTTTGATTCAATTTCTGTGCAGATATAGCTAACCCAGAATTTAGCTAACAATACCTTAATACACCTCATTTTTTTGTGCAGGTATTGAGCTAGAGAATTGAAGATTGAAGATCCTTAGGATTGGAAATTTAAGAGCTAAGGAGCAGAGCAGAGTGGCTGCGCCGGGCGCAAGATGACCCGCATCGGGCTTGAGAAAAACAAAGTGTTCCACCTCTGCAAGTCACACCTGCGCCGGGCGCGAGACTACCCTCGTCGGGCGTGATCGAGACAAAGAGTACCTCAAACTCTCTGGAAGGTATTGGGTCAGGTGTAAAAGGAATTGCGCTGGGCGTGTTCTGAGGCAGAGAATACTTGACCTCACTAGAAGGCCCTGCGTCAGACGCAAAGACTTATGCGTCGGGCACGTAACCCTAATCTGACTCCCCAAGCTCGTATTTGAAGACATTTTTGAGGCTTTGCTCCTCATTCACACATTGGGCGCGTTTTAGGAGCTGTGGAAGGGATTCCCAGAGCTTGGAGCCGTTCGTGTGTGGGTCTTTCCTTCGGTTCTTCATTTCTCTCTTCATCTCTATTTTGTATTTACCCTCATTAATTGTTTTGAGTGGTTCTACCCATTGTTTTGTGGGGTTAGATGTAACCAACGAATTCTATTGTAATCCTTACGTTTTAATGATATATATATATATATATATATATATATGTTGTTCATTCATTGTTGTGTATGTTTCTATTCTTAATGCTTGCTTTGGATTGATTCTCCTTGCATGATATAGGTTCCATTGGGTATTGGAAAATAACCTTTGAAACTAGCTCTGAAACAAATGCCTAGTGGGAAATGTATCTAGGAATGGAGCTTGGCCCATTAGTAGTCTTAAACCCTAGCTCGTAATGCAGGTGTAGATATTGGGTACTCAAGGAATTGATATTCAATATCTGCACCTAGGCTCTTACTTTAAGGGATTAGGTTTGAGTAAACTTATGGGTGACTAAGCAATGTATGTAACAAGAGATTAAGGATTTATTAGTCTGACGTTTGGTGAAATCTGAACCCACAATCTCACAAAAACCATAATACCATTTCTACCCTTTTCCACACAAAAATCAATATTTTATAGTTTTAACATTCTAGTAGTCATGCTTTTCAATTCACATTCACATGACAAACTACAAAAAAGGGAATTATTCTTTAGTCACGAATAGTCAATAAATGCTTATGTTACCTTCTAATCCCTGTGGATACGATAATTTTACTACTTGAACGACCGGTATACTTGCCGTGTTTGAGACCGTTGATAGAATTAAACTGATTTACAATTATAACAAAAGTGTTTCAACGGAAATCTCAACAAAGGTATCTATGAATTGTTTCATGTTTTGATTGTGATATTATATTATAATTGCATCTTTTATTCATGAAATTGTCTATAATTGTCAATCTATGAATACTTGTGAGTTCTCAAAGGAACCATAAGGATTAATACAAAACAAATTATTAGAGAAACAAATGTAAATAGGAAACCTATAAAGTAGGATGAAATAATTGTGTTATTGATCCCCTAATATCACATGATTTTGTAGAGCTACATTTGTAGGTTGTATCATTCATAATTTGTACTTTATGTAGGAAAACCCTTACTAATACAATGGTGGTGCCACATGGGGCCACTAGGCGCGAAGCAACACAGGGTTTTTCGTGACAATCACATCAAACATGAGATGGACCATGTCGGGCATGAGAGCCATGGAGTGCTTCCGATGGTGTTGTCATCCAACGTGAGTATGGTCATGTTGGGCGTAAGAGCTTAAGGGACTCCCTATTGTGAAATTTGCCAGATGCGAGGAGGGATGCATTGGGTATGATTCTCCTAGAGAGAATATTGGGCACAAGGCACTACACATCGGGCGTTGTCTTGTGCTTGCAATTGAATTGAATGTAATTAATTAATGAATGTGAACAACTTTTAGATAGGGGAACCATAGAACTATTTGATTATGACAAGTGATGTATGTAACATCTTGATTCTTTTTCATAAAAAAAATTACTTTTGATAGAAAAATTATATTACAAGCTTGATTAATTAATAAATTAAGTTTATAATATAAATAATATTTTTATTAATTAAATAAAATAATAAGGGGAGTGATAGATTAGAGAGTATTGGGTTGGACTTTGGATCTAATCCAAAAACTTATTAAAATGAAATAAAATAAAGGGGATTAGGTTATTACACATCTTCTAAAAAACCTAGAACATTCACAATTAGGAACCTAGAGGAGATCATTGGAGGAGGTACAGATTAGTGGTTGAAGCTACAAGGAGTGTGTTGTTTCGCCAAATTGTCACTCCAAGTTGGGGGAGTGAAATTGTCGAATCCTTGGACATATATGAGGGATAAGAGAAGAGAGACGATCCTTGAGCCTTGTACATTGATGGAATCAATCTGTGTGACTGCTTATGAATGAATTAGTTATTGATTCCTTGTGTATTATCCAAATTCCTATATTGAATTATGTTTGATTAATATATTGATGGTAAATTGAAGTTATGATGGATTAGGTCATGTATATGTAGAATTGGGGTTTTGATGTGGTTTGGTGTTTTGTATTAGTTGATGATAATAAATGGCTATAAGAATGATAAATAAATATTTTTTAACTGATTGAATTGTGTATTAAAGTAAAAGGATGTTTATGAGATATATTGGAGGTTAGATTTGTGTGATATCATCTACCCCGCATACGATAACACATAAATAATATAAAACTGAACTACCTCATATGAAATAAATGAACTCAAAATCCATACAAGTAGAGATAATCACATTGTTAACATAAATTAAACTTAATGGAAATAACAAAATTACAAAAGAATTAAAATCAACTCTTAAATTTAATAACATGAAGCAAATTTCTAAATTAGTCCTAACTATGTCCTAATGTCACATGTCTTATCAAAGCAACCTAATATGAAGGCTAAGCCTCATCACCAACATCTCCAACAAAAAGTTAATGATCACCTGCATAAATCACAAGAGTAACAACAACAAAAACAAAGGAGTGAGAAAATTTCACTCTAACTCGAAGTGCAAGAATGCAACCAGATAGTCAAACACAAACATACCACGAGATATAACATACATAGATCATCATCATGCTCACACTTGGTTCATTTAATAGCAGTACTAAGAGTTTGTAACAGTCTCTTCTGAATACTTCACCTTTATGGTAATATAATTATACAGTGTATTGAAAAAAAAAAAAAAGTGTTATTTGATAGTGTTTTATGTAAAATTAATTTATAAATTAGACTAATGTTTATAAGTTATAAAT